CCACCGAGAAAATTTAACTAACTTTATAATGTGATTATGATTGTAACAGATAATTATGCAGTCAGGAAATAAAAATTTCATGCAAACAATATTCAAAGTGTCTATACAGCCAGCTATTTAGTAAACTGTCACCTGTCAATTCAATCCATACTCATCAAATTTTCAAAACTTTATTGTAATCATATGAAGCAAAAGTTATCTCACTTGTTGTTTACACTTGCCAATGTTAACTGTTGAGTAACATACACAAAATATTTGGTGAACATGTCGAAGACCACTGAATAATTGAGAATGTTTTGAAGGTCATTAGTGAAGTATATAATTAAATTCCAGTTCTGTGCACGGTTAATGATATACCACACTGTTCGGTTTAACACGTACAGCACATTCACACAAAAACAATTGTGTTGTGGGAGATTATCGTTTTGAGCAGAAGGTATCACAAGTTTAGTTCTGTACATTGTGTGCCATTGATCAAATCCACCATATAATATATGATTATTCATTGTAGCTGTTAAGTTATTTTCCATACTAATGAATTTAGGTAAGATTGTCTTGCAAGTTGGTTGTTCTGACAAAATTATCCAGCCAATATCCAGTATATTTATTCTTCATTCTTGTATTATTAAATCTCTAAAGAAAAATATTTATGTTAGAAAGCAAAATGACAATGTAATGAGGCTTGGGAAGGTGAGGATTCTTTTATTTGAAAGTGTTTATAAAAATTTTGTTTAATTAACTCTAATGTGTAAAACCAAAATGTATAACAGTAGAGCTACTAGACACAGTATAAGTATTTTAACTGATAACATCTTCAACCTTTGCTCTAACACTACATTTGATGACAGCTTTATAGTTGGACTGTTGTTTTGAACAGAGTTATGGAGTCGATATACAGAAATACAGGACCAGGATTTAATTCAATATCTCCTGAGAATGTTATCTCTGTTTAAAATATTACAGAAGTCACAGAAGGATTGTTTTTAATGCTGTATAAATCTTTTTGTGAACTATGTTGACAAATGGCTTAAAATATCCTCGAAAATATCCAATATTTTAACAGTGTAATATATTAATTAAAAAATTCCAGAGTGCATTCCATGTAAACTCTACGCCGAAGATACGGCAATATTAACTATAGATAGTATAGTAAATATTTGCCGAACTGGTGAACTCATGTATTATAAAATATGTGGGACATATATTTGCACAAATTTGGTATTTAAATATATAATATGTGGTATTTGACTACTTACCAGATGAGGATAAGATTCCATGTTGATAAATAACTTCGGGATAAAAAAAAGACAGCCAATTCAAGATAAATTGATAAAAATATCAAGATATTTTGAAACAATAACACGATTTATACACGAGGCCTGACGAGGCTAAAGTATGCCCGTTCGCAGGTTAGATGCGGGCACGATGTAAACAATTGATGTAAACGAATCGCTGATTGGCTTAAATTGGTTTAAATTATATAAGCTCGTCGCTGAATGGCTAGGGATACGGTACGGTACGGTACGGTATGGTATGGTACGGTACGGTCACGTTTGCGATAGCATATATATCTGCTTCGCAGATACAAAAATAGGTACGCAAGGCGTACATGTATCTGCGAAAAAACTTGATTCACATTTTGTATTTTCTTGAAAGGAACTGAATAATGAAGGTGACATGGGACAATTGAAATATTTCATCACTTATTATAATAGCAGATAAGATTTAAAACAGGGCTGTACACAGCGGGGAGGGTGGCAGGGCAAGTGCTCCCCCCCCCCACGCCCGCACCGAGAAAATTTAACTAACTTTATAATGTGATTATGATTGTAACAGATAATTATGCAGTCGGGAAATAAAAATTTCATGCAAACAATATTCAAAGTGTCTATACAGCTGGCTATTTAGTAAGCTGTTACCTGTCAATTCAATCCATACTCATCAAATTTTCAAAACTTTATTGTAATCATATGAAGCAAAAGTTATGTCACTTGTTGTTTACACTTGCCAATGTTAACTGTTGAGTAACATACACAAAATATTTGGTGAACATGTCGAAGACCACTGAATAATTGAGAATGTTTTGAAGGTCATTAGTGAAGTATATAATTAAATTCCAGTTCTGTGCACGGTTAATGATATACCACACTGTTCGGTTTAACACGTACAGCACATTCACACAAAAACAATTGTGTTGTGGGAGATTAACGTTTTGAGTAGAAGGTATCACAAGTTTAGTTCTGTACATTGTGTGCCATTGATCAAATCTACCATATAATATATGATTATTCATTGTAGCTGTTAAGTTATTTTCCATACTAATCAGTGGTGCCTAAATTACTTTGATTTTATACTTGAGTAAAAGTAGAAGTAATTCGCATTAAAACGACTTGAGTAAATGTAAAAAGTACTGGAGAGAATACGTACTTGAGTAAAAAGTACAAAGTATTTTTCAAAAATACTTAAGTACAAGTAAAAAGTACAAGTACTGTATAGAGTATATCGAAGAATGATACTCTGGATTAGACTAATAGACCACCAACAATACGATAGTTACATACCGCAATTTTACCTTCAGGCCTCTTGGGATTTTCAATTTTTTATTAAATTTTAATTAAGCACTACTGGGGGATTATGATGGGTGTCTACGGCTACAAGGGATTTCAAAGTTGCAATTTAATACCAATGACACGCAAATACGTTTTTCTAATGAGAGATTACACACAGCAATTACAACATAGCCAGTATATATTATAGTTTTATTTACAAAACATGGACGTTTTTCCTAGTTCTGACAATATCAACGAATTATTAGTCATCAGAGTTTCACTGAGTGCACTATGTTTTATGGCAAGTCTATGGCTGATTTTGAAGGAAAGACTTAGTCAGTTTCAATAAAAGTTGATTTTCAAAGTTCTGGTCTCCGATACGTGACCTCAATGGGGTAAGAATACGACCTGCTGCACTGAACAAACGCTCACACGCTGCACTAGCAGGCAGAGCTGTGTTTGTTTTGATGAAAAGATCTTTTAAGAGAGGCCACGTGGTAATGGAAGATGTCTCAACATATGAATTTGATGCTCTTGTTCTCTCTTCCCACTCTTCCATTGTAGCGAAACATTGACTTCGAATATGGCCAAGGATGTTCCTCCTCTTCTCCTTTTTTACCGATAGTATTAACACCTTCTAGTCCTTGTCCTTCGTTCAAGACTTCGTCTGCAATATGCAAATCACTGTCGGCCATGGCTGCCCAAGCAATTCGGGTAGAGTTCAATGATTGGGCCAGTGAATTCGGCGCAATAATTTGGCGCGAAACGCGTGTATTGTCGCATGTGTTCAGCGGAATATATTAATTGTCTGTACTTCGTGTAAATAACTATAAATTTGATTGCGATTGGAGTCGAGTTTAAAAATCGAAATTCATTTTAGAAATCACCGAATCAGGTAAAAGATAGAACTAAAATTTGATAATACCATAAAAAGTAACGGAATACTTCACCACAAAATAAAAATAACGAAGTAAAACGTTACTTTTTGAATTTACTTCGTTCCAAGTAGAAGTACTCTGTCAAAAATTTACTTCGTTACTTGCTCACTTCTCAAAATTAGTACTCAAGTAAAGTAACGAAGTACATTTACTTCGTTACTTGTCACCACTGATACTAATTAATTTAGGTAAGATTGTCTTGCAAGTTGGTTCTTCTGACAAAATTATCCAGCCAATATCCAGTATATTTATTCTTCATTCTTGTATTATTAAATCTCTAAAGAAAAATATTTATGTTAGAAAGCAAAATGACAATGTAATGAGGCTTGGGAGGGTGAGGATTCTTTTATTTGAAAGTGTTTATAAAAATTTTGTTTAATTAACTCTAATGTGTAAAACCAAAATGTATAACAGTATAAGTATTTTAACTGATAACATCTTCAACCTTTGCTCTAACACTACATTTGATGACAGCTTCATAGTTGGACTGTTGTTTTGAACAGAGTTATGGAGTCAATATACAGAAATACAGGACCAGGATTTAATTCAATATCTCCTGAGAATGTTTTCACTGTTTAAAATATTACAGAAGTCACAGAAGGATTGTTTTTAATACTGTATAAATCTTTTTGTGAACTATGTTGATAAATGGCTTAAAATATCCTCGAAAATATCCAATATTTTATGCAGTGTAATATATTAATAAAAAAATTCCAGAGTGCATTCCATGTAAACTCTACGCCGAAGATACGGCAATATTAACTATAGTAAATATTTGCCGAACTGGCGAACTCGTGTATTATAACATATGTGGGACATATATTTGCACAAATTTGGTATTTAAATATATAATATGTGGTATTTGACTACTTACCAGATGAGGATAAGATTCCATGTTGATAAATAACTTCGGAATAAAAAAAAGATAGCCAATTCGAGATAAATTGATAAAAATATCAAGATATTTTTGAAAGAATAACACGATTTAGTATAATTACGTAGGTGATTATTGAAAATTCTCCACGCTGATTGGTTGCCGTTGAGGTGATTATTACGCGATAATCACCTAAGCGATTTTCAAAATGGCGGCCGAAGCCTTTTTGTGTCTTTTGTCAATTAAATGACGAAGAAATGTGTATTTTCTTACTTTTTTCCAAATAATCACCTATGAAATTATACTAAAACAATTATTCACCTCAGGCTCGGTGATTATCGTGAATAAAAACCTCGACTTCGTCTCGGTTTTTATTCACCGATAATCACCTCGCCTTCGGCGAATAATTGTTAATTATACACGAGGCCTGACGAGGCTAAAGTATGCCCGTTCGCAGGTTAGATGCGGGCACGATGTAAACAATTGATGTAAACGAATCGCTGATTGGCTTAAATTGCCTTAAATTATATAAGCTCGTCGCTGAATGGCTAGGGATACGGTACGGTATGGTACGGTACGGTACGGTTACGGTACGGTCACGTTTGCGATAGCATATATATCTGCTTCGCAGATACAAAAACAAGAAACTGAAAAATAAGTTACACTACAGCTTAAAGAGTTCTTTCGCTTAAAAAAAAGAAATTTCATGTCATATGCACTTTAAATACAATATGAAAATATTCGAATTTTCTGCAACATGAGTTTATCATAATTATTGACATTGTGTATTGTGAACTTTATTTAGTCACGGTGGACTCATCAGGATTTTACACACTTATGATAAAGTAACAAAGGAAATTAGATATATGATAAATTATACTATACATATTTACAAAACTACCTGTTTTTCATGAGTGCCGTGCATTAAATTGATAAAATATTTAAAAATTATTGAATAAAGTTGCTACAGTCAGACTTAAATTTATGTAAAGTACTAGCCTGTCTTAACTCAGTAGGAAGAGAATTCCACAGTACTGCACCGCTATAACTAAAGCTATTTTTCAAGTAATTAGTACGCGGTAGTGACAAAGCTAGTTTGTTACTGGTGTCTCTCAATGCATAATTTGTGATACTATTGCGATCAACAAACATATTAGAAAGATAATCTGGAGCAAGACCATTCAAGGATTTATACACCATGATAGCCTTGGTAAGCCTACGCTGAGATACAAGATTTTTCCATCCAAGACTTTCGAAAAGATAATCGGCATTTGTATCATAACTAGAAGATGTCAATACCCTGGCAGCACGATTTTGTAATTTTTGCAATTTGTTAACTAGATAACTACTGCAACTATCCCAGACAGCAGAGCAGTAGTCGAAATATGGTTGAACTAAGCACTTGTAAATAAGTTGCATTGTGGTAAAAGGAACATAAGGTCTAATGCGTTTTAGTGCACCAATACCGGAAGCAACTTTTTTACTCAGTTTCTCAATATGAACATTCCAGGATAAGTTCTCATCAATGTGTACGCCGAGTGATTTTGTATGAGAGACTTGTTTAACTGGAACGTTATTTATTACTAATAAAGGAGTAGATTGAAAAGTGTTTATTCTTTGGCGAGAGCCAATTAGCATAAATTCAGTTTTAGTCTGGTTTAAAGTAAGTTTGTTTGATGATAACCATTCACTGACACTAGCAAGATCCTCGTTAAGATTATGATTAATTTCATGTATGTTATTACTTGCATATGTCAAATTAGTGTCATCAGCAAACATTCGTGCCCGAGAGTGTATTAGACAATTAGGAAGATCATTAATATAGATTAAAAATAAAAGCGGGCCTAATATAGTTCCCTGAGGAACCCCACATTGTAGTAATCGATTCGAGGAGAAATGACCGTTAACAAAACACTTTTGATTACGTTCATTTAGATACGATCTTAACCAGTTACCCGCAGTTCCCTTGATTCCATATGCATTAAGTTTGTTCAGCAATATTTCATGATCTACAGTGTCGAACGCTTTTTTAAGATCAAGAAACATTACAGCATTTACATTACCACTGTCAATATTATAAGCCCATTCGTTGGTAGCCTCAAGAAGAGAGCCGGTGACAGTAGAATGTAGGCCTCGAAATCCCGATTGATAATTAGTTAATAATTCATTTTCAGCTATAAATGTATATAGCTGATCATAAATTACCCTTTCAAAAACCTTAGCCACAATAGGAACAATAGAAATGGGACGATAGTTATCAACGCAATTGCGTTTGCCTTGTTTGTATATAGAAATAACTTTAGCACATTTCCATTCGTTTGGGAATATGCCTGTAGTGATAGAACGATTAAAAATAAGACAGAGGGATTCTGCAATTAAGTAAGAGCATTCTCTAATTAACCTAGAAGATATTTTGTCTAAACCTGTTGCTTTAGAAGTGCTTAACGTGGACAGTAATGCGTAAACGGTTGGAATACTTATTTCCCTCAGTTGAAAAATAACATTATTTTGGTTAGGTAAATAATCAAGATAAGACCGATTGCTATAATTAAGATTAATTTTATCTGCAAGGTCTGGTCCGATGTTTGAAAAGTGATCGTTAAACGCATCAGCAATTTTGCTAGGGTCATTAATTAATACGCCATTCAAATCAACCTCGCCAATGTGAGGGCTTTTCCTATTCTTATAAGTAAGTTCATTAATGATCTTCCAGGTCTTATTAGGATTGTCTTTATTATCATTGAAAGAATTTTTGAAATAGGCTTGCTTTGCGTAGAAGATTTCAGAATTAACAAAATTACGCATTTTTTTAAAAGAAAGCCAATCTTGAGTATCGTTGGAACGAATTGCTTTAATTTTTAGGACATCTCGCCTATGCATTTTATCTTTCAAAAGAGATGTGATCCAAGGCGATTTAATAGCCTTAACGCGCTTAGCTCGAATTGGGGCGTGCTTATCTGCGACAGAATTGAATGTGGCTTTCCAAGCATGCCACATGTCATTAGGATTTTCGTACTGATTGATATAGTTCCAACTCTGTTGACTAATATCATTACGAAATTTAGTAGAATCAAAGTTTTTAAACTTTCTGTAGTTTATTGAAGAATGTACCCCCGTCGATGAACCCACAGAAAGTTTGCGAAAGGCGTAAATAAGACTATGATCGCTTATACTCACATGAGAAACACTGACCAGAGCAAACAACCTTGTCAGGAGTATTTGTGAAAATATGATCTAACAATGTTGAGGAGGAGTCTGTGATTCGAGTAAGTTCATTTATAAGCTGAGAAAGATTATATAAATCGGCAATAT